GAAATTTCAAGTTCTGTTTGATGATGAATGTGAGGCCATTCCTCATCAATTTGTCATTCCCAGTCTAGTAAACCATGTGATTGGCAGATCAAAAATAGCCAGAGCCAGTCCATTTCATCTTACTAATGCCTAGGATATCAATATTTATCCATTCCATTTCATTTTTGACAACTCCCAATTTTTCTAGATTTATTCTTCATAAATTCCATGTTCTGATAATTAATGGACATTGAATAATCAGAACATGGAATAATCAAAACATTGAATAATTGTATCTGAAACCTGTCCATCATGGATGGCACTGCTGGTATTTAAAAGACCTGTGGCATTGCTTTTAGAATCCCAGAAACATGCTGACCACACAGTGTAATAAACTGACAGACAAGTGGTACTTCTTTCTGCTAGTGATGTGCTTTTTTACCTCAGCATTCACATACTAATGTTGATTGATATTTTATTTATAATATCTTTTCTGTCCCATTTATTTTTTTTGTTTAGAAATTTCCATTTTATCAATTGTATATGATTTCCTTAAATCTCTTTTTGTCCTTTATGATGTGTCCATATCTATTGTTTTCTCCCATTATTCACTCCTTTCTTTACTACTATGGATGTGGTTGTTGTTAAGTACCTGCGAATCAGTTGCAACCCTATGTAGGGTTTCTAAGAAGCAGCTGATGGATTGAACTGCCAATCTTGAGATAGCAGTACACTGCTTATCCTATAGTGCCACACCAGGACTCCATACTCTAGATTTTTTGTTGCTAAGTGCCATTGTGTCAGTTCTTACTCTTAGCAACGCTATATAGGGTTTCCGAGGAGCTGCTGGTGGGTTTGAACTGCCAACCTTGCCATTCAGACCGTTCTTGTAGCTTAGTGCTTTATCCTAGAGTACTACACAAGGATTCCAAATCTTTAGTTCTGCATTATTGAACCATTATTTGCGCTGGAGACATCACTTAACAAAATACATTCATTTTATTAAAATACTATTTTAAAGCTGCTTACATGAACTTAACACTTTAACCCATTATAAAACTGTAAGCCAAACAGTCTGTCTTCTTTCTGAATATAATAACTATTGTTATTATGTTATTATAGTAATAATCTAGAGACTTTTGGTTTTTAGATCATGGAGGAAAAACCCTTTTTGTTATGCTTTCTTTTCTCAAACAATAACCATAAAATAAAACATACAAACACAATCTTTGAATAAAGTAGTAGTTGCTGTTAAGTGCAGTTGAGTGGGTTCTGACAAACAGCAACACTGTACAGGGTTTGCAAGGAGCAGATGGTGGGTCTGATGTGCCAACCTTATGGTTCACAGTTCAGTGTTGATCATATAGCACCACACAAGAAGTTCTATTAAAGTAGGGACATTTTAAATCCTTAAATTGGTAAATATGGTAAATGCTTGAGTACCTGTGACCATGGTAACCATTCCAGATTGGAGCAGGTTGTAAGGCTTCTTTATATGCAGGAAGATAAATTGGTAACCCCCAAAACCAAACCCACTGCCTTTGAGTGGGTTCTGATTCATAGACACCCTATAGGATGGAATAGAATTGCCCCATTGGGTTTCCAAGGTTGTAAATCTTATCAGGAGCAGACTGCACATCTTCCCACAGAATGTCTGGTGAGTTTCAACCTTTTGGTTAGCAGTCCAGTACTTTCACCACTGTGTACCAGGGTGCCTATAAATTGGTAAACATGGTATGAATTAAATTTATTGAGACAAAATAGACAACTGGCAGCAAGTTGGCAATAGAATTATCTCTAGAAAACTAAGGAAAAAAAGTAAAGCAAGACAGTTACCAACTACAGATGAAAAATTGTACATTAGCCCTAAATAGCATACTGATATAACTAAAATGATAATATAACTGCATTGAAAGGCTATCCTGTATAAGTACTTTCATCTTCTGTAATACAGGAAGTCAGTAGTTAATACCTAAAACTGAAAATTAAAAGATACAACAATACACATTCATGGAAAAGAAAAAATTGTACAAACTTTATAATTCAACTCTGAATAGCACACTGCTCTAACCAAAATAATATAATTGCACTGAAAGACTGAAAATTCCATGTACAGCAGTATACATGTTGTTGTTGTTGTTAAGTGCTGTCAATTCAGTGCCAACTCATAGCAACCATGTATAAGATTTCCAACGAATAGGTGGTGGGTTTGAACTGCTGACCTCGTGGCTTGAAGTCCATTGCTGATCCTATAGTGCCACACCAGGAGTCTAAGTAATATGTATATGTTACTGTATTTTAAAATCTGGCATTAGAGCAAAAGAATAAATTAAAGAATGGAAAATGGAACTCCTTAGCTAAGGGAAAATAATTAGCATGAAGAAGCTAACAATTTTTGTTATCCTTAAAGGTTAAGTGGGGGAGGACACAGCTTAGAATGAGAGCCAAATACATGTGTTTGACTGAACCTCCAAATTAGATATGCTTACGCACTTCGTCACAGGTAGTGTTCTTTGAAGGAGTAGCTGAAGGTGCTTCATAAGGTCAAAGGTGAAGGTAAATAGCACACACTCAGTATATTCTTTCCCAAATTTACAAATCAAGTATGCCATTCCAACTTCTGGTAGAGGGAGATTAATCTTAGCTATCTAGTCCTGCTGTTACGGAAATAACCACAAGTAGATAGTATTTAACAAACAGAAATTTATTCTCACCATTCAGGAGGCTAGAAGTTCAAATTCAGAATGCCAGCTCTAGGAATAAGGCGCTCTCTTAGCTCTGGGGAAAGCCCTTGTCTCCTTCCACCGTCTGCAAGCTCAGCATTCCTTGGAGATCCCCATATGTGTTGGCATCAGTCTTTCCCTAGATCTAGGAGCATCACAGTACAGAGACCCCAGTTCCAAAGGATCCACTCCGCTTGGGCTCTTCCTTTTTGGTGGTAGCATGTCCCTCAGATTTCTGCTCACTTCTCTCTTACCTCTTGGAAGTGAAAGATATTGAAGACTGCACCCCAGGGAAACTCCTCTTATATTGCATCAGGGCTATGAATGGGATTCAGTGTAATGCAGCCCATCTTTAATGCTCTCATCGGTTTATCACATCAGATCACATCATGGGGGGTGAGGGTGAGAATCATCACATGCCTGCCATATTGTAACATTACATAACTGCCAAACCCATTAAGTATCATGGTTCAGCCAAGCTGACACATTTTGGGGTGACAGTTCAATCCATGACCGAGATCAAGAGATAGACTAACTGAGCCTACATCTTTGTGTTTAGGAAATGGTGCATTGTTCCAGTCTATCATTATTAAGGTCTTTTAATGTAACCTTTTGTTGTTCTCTTTTTTTGTTTCTTTGATGATCAGTTTTGTCAGAAAGTTAATGGGGAAATTTCATTACCTTTGAATTTTATTTTTTCATGAACTTTTTGAAGCCCTCCCAATTTACTTCTTTTTAAAATTTAGTATAAAATCAAAGCAGGAAAACCTTTTATACTTGAAGATATGCCATTCAATTTGCTATGATTCCCCGTCTTAAAAAAAATAATGCGTATATAATCCTAATGTATATATGTAGTTTATAGAAAATTTAGGATATGACATCTCAAAGCTATTTCTGAATGTACATCTTAAAATCTGTTTTCTTAGATAGTTAAATATATAGTATACTAGAGTATTCAAAATTATAACCTATTTTAACTTCCAGTAAATTTAGCAAAAAGTTCAACAAATCCTATTTGAGTACTTATATATAATTTTTAAGAAGGTTTCAGAGGTTAGAACACTCCTTTTCTCTTAAGGAAGCTAATGATCAAGTTGTTAGTGCCATCGAGTTAGTTCCTAATATTATAGCAGCCCTGTTCAGAGTTTCCAAGGAGCAGCTGGTGGGTTTGAACCACCAACCTGTGGTTAGCTGTCCTGTGCTTATTCTACAGCACCACACCAGGACTCCATGATCAAATAGAATTTGACAAATGTAGATGTTGTTGTTTTATGCCGACCAGTCAGTTTCAACTCATAATGATCTTGTATAGGGTTTCCCAGAATGACTGGTGAGTTTAAACTCCTGACCTTGTGATTACCAGTCCAGTGCTTATCCTGTAGCACCACATCAGATCTCAAATGTAGAAAACTAATAATAAAAATGGCATTAAAAAAACTTCATATTAAGAGGAATTTCGAGAGAGGAGAGAGCACCACCTGCAACTTTTAAAAGTAGAACATGTTCATTATAGAAACTTAATAATTCAGAGACATATAAAAATATAAAATACGTAATTAAAATATAAAAATCATCCATAATTCCACTACTCAGATAATCACTCCCTCATATTTTTGTTTCATTTTTCAAATAATTTTTCTTTACGTTAAATTGAAATCACCTTATTAACTTACATTTTTTTTGAATATTTCTTTCCCAATGTTATTTCTGGGTTTTGGATTTATTTAGACTACTTAGATGATTTCTAGTTGTTTGCTTTACTTGTTGTTGGTGTTGGTGGTTGCTGTTGAGCCACCCTGATTTATGGCAATTCCATGCACACCAGAATGAAACTGCCTGGTCTGTCTCATCTCCATGATCAGTTGCAGATCAGACCATTGTGATCCATAGGGTTTCACTGGCTGAATTTTCATAAGTAGACTACCAGACTTTTCTTGCTAGTCCATCAGCGTTGGAAACTCCCCTGAACCACTGAAACTTGTTAAGCATCATAGCAGTTTGCAAGCCTCCACTGACAGGTAGTAGCTGCATTGACTAAGAATCAAATACACATCTCCCTCATGGAAGGCAAGAATATGATCACTGAACCACCTGTGCCCTGTTTGTGTTTTACTAAAACATTTTAGACTGTTTTCTTCATGCTTATCATTTGAAATTTGTTCTAAATATATCTATTCTTACTCTTGAGCATTTCGGATACATAATTTTGAGGGTTTTGTTTTTGTTTCTTGATTTTTTTAGCTTTCTTCTAAGAAAATAGCTTTTACTTAAGGGATTATATTTTATATTTTTCAGGGTTACTTTGAAAGTTGCAATATACACAGAAACAGGATAGCAGGCTTTGAAGTAAAAGCCTATGCTAACCCCACTGTGGTTCGATGTGAAATTCACCATGGTCAGACTGGAGGAATATATGTCCATGAAAAAGGAAGAGGACAGTTCATAGAGAATAAAATCTACGCAAACAACTTTGCAGGTGTATGGATTACCTCAAATAGTGATCCAACAATAAGGTATTTACATATAATCTTGGTTGGTTGGTTGGTTTGGTTATGTGCCATAGAGTCAGTTCTGACTCACAGCAACCCTATATAGGGTTTCTGAGGCTATAAATATTTACAGGAGCAGAAAGCCTCATCTTTTCTCTTGCGGAACAGCTGGTAGTTTCGAACTGCTGACTTTGAGGTTAGCAGCCCAACTCATAACCAGTATGCTACCAGAGCTTCTTATAATCATAGCTAAAATTTACTTTTTTTCACTTTTTTTTTGTTGTTGTTGTTATTATAAGAAAAGTCAAGATACTAAGCTTTAATTCTTAAAAGTTTTTCCTAGGTATTTCAATACTGTAATAGATTTTACTATAAAAGTCATGTATTTGGATGAGTATTATTACTTACTTATTTTAGAGTGTTCACTTGTTGTTGGTTTTTACTGACCTAAGCCATGTACTATATAAAAATGCAATTGCTGTCATTTTTATTTTAAATTCATCAAGCTGAATTATAGATGAGTAAATAGGGCTTTGACCTTTCCTTGGATCCTAATGATTTTTATCTTCTCTTCTTTTTTTTAGAGTCAGCAGGTAGGGTAACTCAGGAAACTTAATTTTATCTCAGAGATTCTTGGACAGAGAGATTAAAATGATCAAAGTCCAAACTTCATGCTTTTACTTTACTTGAATAGTTCTTACTTTCCCCTCTATGCACAGTAAAACAAATAGATCTAGTCTTAAAGATATTAACCGAAATTGTAGATGAAAGGTATTATAATTTAGTAAAAACCATAAATTAATGTCAGATTTTACTTTTTACTTGCTTTATAAAAGTAAATTATGGACTTCATGTTGCTAATAATCAGCAAAATATTTCTAGATCAGTTAAAAAAAATTTTTTTAATATCTTGGCCACTTTAAAGGGAATTTTTAATGATACTGTTTTGTTTTTTCCAGTGCCTTAGCTCTTAGGAAGAACTAGATGGAAACTTAGAAATCATCTAGTGTGAGTCCCTCATTTTACAGTTTAGGAAGTGGAATGCATAGAAGTTAAGTAATTTGTCCAAGCTTACATGGCCATGAGTGCCCTACAATTGTATAAAACAGATAAACTTTGTTGAATAGAGATAATTAATTTTCAAAAATTGTTATTTTGTATAATTACAGGGGTAATTCTATATTTAATGGAAATCAAGGCGGTGTGTACATCTTTGGTGATGGGCGAGGCCTTATTGAAGGAAATGACATTTATGGTAAGCATGTGGTTTTTATAAGTTTTAAGGACTAGCCTAGCTCTCTGGCATTAGCAAAGTGGACCACTTTGAAACCATTTAAGTAGAAGAATTGATCCAATTTCTTGAAATTCATAATACATATTTTTGTGTGATATTATTCATTTGGCAAATATTTTTAGAATGCCTACTATGTACCAGGCACTGTACCAAATATCAGGGTAAAAATATAAACACATTTTTGATCGTCAGGACACTATATAGTTTTCTTATATTCATTTTTTTATAATCCATTTTTACCAATTTTATCAATGATGTCTGTGCTGGCTTAGTACATTTTTATAGTCACTGGAGAAGGAAAATACCTGTTCCTCATTGGTGCTTTTGAGGCATTAATTCAGCAAACAATTTTTAGTTCTCTATGTGCTATAGACATTAATTTGTCTCTGGACTGAATCTCCTGCTAGCACTTACTAGATAATAGTTATATAAAGTATATTCAATACTATACACTTTTTTAAAAACACCTTAACATTTTATTTAATTAGTTAATCTTAAAATCTACATATCAACCTTCTGAGGCAAATGATAATCAGATCCCTACTCCTTGATCAGGAAATTAAATGCAAAGAGGTTAAATAACTTAATCCGGTTATTTTGGTCACATACGAAGTAGAATTGCTGGGATTCAAAACTTGGCATTCTGACTCCAGCGTATATAGTCTTAGGTGATGGTGGTTATATGCCGTGGAGTCGATTCCGACTCATAGCGACCCTGTACAAGGTTTCCAAGGCTGTAAATCTTGATGGGAGCAGAAAGACTCTACTTTCTCCTGTGGAACAGCTGGGTAGTTTCAAACTGCTGACCCTGAGGTTAGCGGCCCAATTCATAACCACTACGCTACCAGAACTCCGTACTATGCTATAATGTTTGTAACGGTTCTGTATGTATTTATGAGGAGATGTTAGAAAGTTTCTTGAAAAATTCCTTTATCATTCCATTTTCCCACAAACTTTGTAAGCCCCTCGTACACTCCTCATCCCCTTAGTTTTGTCTTGGGTTGTAGTTGATATCAAGTCAATTCTGACTCATGGTGACTGTGTGTCTTATAATACTTAAAATTTTTAACTAACACCAATGTAAAACTTACATTATGGCATTAGGCTTCACCTGTTGACTTTGTAACTCTTATTATTCAATAGGCAATGCATTAGCAGGAATTCAAATTAGGACAAACAGTTGTCCAATTGTTCGACATAACAAAATTCATGATGGCCAGCATGGTGGGATTTATGTGGTAAGTTGATGAGACCCTTTCTGAAAACTCATACAGGAAAAAACACAACCAGAAAAAAAGGGGGAGGTGTGTAGATAATATTCAATTTTTAGAGTATGAATTTGTAACTGACTTTTATAGTTAAACAATAAGACTTGTTATCCCTGTTAGTATATGAAAGACTTCAAATTTTATATTGTGTGTACGGTTGGTGGTGGTTATGTGCCATGGAGTCAAAACTGACTCATAGTGACCCTGTACATGG